ACACGACGACTTCCTATCACCCCCTTCCTTCCCCTGCAGCTCCCCGCACCTGCCCGCTGCAGCTGCTCGGCCAGGGCCTGCTCGGAGCCGTGGAACTCCAGGAAGAGCGTGGGCGCCACCATGCAGCTCAGCTTGCTGTGTCTGTTGCAGGCATCCATCGTGACGTCATCCAGGAACTCTGGGAGCAGAGCAGACGGAGGCCCAGACGGCTGAGGCCTGGGCCCCAGAGCGGTTTCTGAGGGAGCCCTCCCGAAGGACACAGCCCGGCCTCACCGATTCGGGCCACGGGCACCGCGGCCTGCAGGATTTGCACAGTGCTGTCCACAGCAGCCTGGACGCTTGGGAAGGCACACGTGGCGGCCACCGTGACCTCGGGAGCAGGGTGCAGGCGCAGGGTGGCAGCCGTGATGAGGCCCAGGGTCCCCTCAGAGCCCACAAAGAGCCCTGTGAGGTTGTAGCCGGCCGCACTCTTCCTGGATCAAGGGCACACAGGCGGGTGAGCAGTGCCCGGTCCACACAGAGACCTGGGGCCCCGCAGCCTCGGGGCTCAGAGTCCCAGGGCCCATAGTGACAGGACTCTGAAGGGGCCCTGGGACCCAGGGCACCGTGCCCCGGGGCCCTGCTAAATGGAGAACGGAGCCTGCGGGCTGAGCTGGCCTCCCTGGTGGCCCTGGACTGCGTGGGTGCCCTTTCAAGGGTGTGCATGCATGTACATGAGCATGCATGTGTGTGTGTGTGTGTGTGCTAGAGACATGCTCTGTACACCACCGCCCACATCCACCATTACCGTGAGCACGTTCCCAGCACTGTCCAACTTTGCCCACCAGGTAGCATTTCAGACTCCCAGGCCCAGCAGGAGGTGCGTCTCACAGCAGGAGAGCCTATCTCTGGGGTGAGGGGCTCAGGGGAGCCCCCTCAGGCCTCCACACCACAAGGCCACAGCGGGCCGCTCACCGGAAGTGCCGGCCTGGGCCGGCAGTGTGCAGCAGCTGCCCACTGGGCAGCACCACCTCCAGGTTGAGGACGTTTTCCCGCATGGTGCCATAGCGCACAGCATTGGTGCCCGAGGCTCCGGTGGCCACCATGCCACACAAAGAAGCGTCTGCCCCTGGATCTGTAAAGCAAGTGTGGGCGGAAGGCAGCCTGGGTGGGCAGGGAGGATCCAGGCGCAGTCCTGCCAGCAGGGAGCCCCCAAGGTGAAGGGAGAATTCAGGGGTGGGGTGTTCCCGGCCTACCCACAGGGAACCAGAGACCAGTGTCCCTCAGGTGGGTGTTGAGAGCTTTGCGGGTCACGCCAGGCTCCACCACCACCGAGAAGTCTTCGGGGTTTAAGGCCAGGACCTGGTCCATGTGGGTCAGGTTAATGCAGACGCCTCCCTGGCAAGAGAAGCTGGCTGAGCGCTGGGCCCCGTGAGCGGCACCTCGCCCAGGGCTGTGGGGTGACAGGGCTGCTCCCTGGCCAAAGGTGAGGGGAGCCTCACCATACCTGTACAGCACAGACTCCGCCTTCCAGTCCTGTCCCTGTGCCAAAGGGGATAATGGGCACACCATGGCTATAGCACAGGGCCGTCAGCCGGCTGACCTGGTCCACATTCTGAGGCCAGACTACGGCGTCAGGGGGCTGGCACCTAGAATCAGACCAACAACTCTGGGGGCAGGCACCCTGGGCTCCCTGCTCTCCCACCTGAGGGCCTGGGGCTGCACACAGGGTGAGGGCCAAGTGCAGATGCAGAGGAGGGGCCAGGGTGACACAAAGCAGGTGGGGCGGGACCCCCATTTCACCCACCTGTGCAAGGACTCGTCTTTTCCGTGCTGCTCTCTGACGGCATGGGCCGTGGACACGTGGGAGGGCCCCACCACTGCCCTCAGGGCCGCCACAAAGTCCGGGCTGACAGCGCCCTGTGGGAGGAGCATATACATCGTCAGTGAGTTGTGGGGGCATGGCTGCCAGCATTCTCTGGGTATCAGTGGCCTCCCCCCACCATTGGCAGCTCAGCCAGGGGGTGCCCCACTTTAGGCAACCCCAGTCTCCTGGAGCATGCCCTTTCAAGGAAGCCCAAAACACCCACCGCCAGCCCCTGAATAAAAACAACAAATACCGCCCAAGAGTGTCAACAGGGGGTCCCTTAACAGCCCTGCCCAGCCCAGGCAAAGTGCTAGCCCGACTCAGCCCCAGGCACACAGGAGAGACTAAGGAATGGTGCCTCCGGAGGGAGAAGCTGGTTGTGGGTGCCCTGCCCCCCAACCCCTGCTCCACTCTAGGGAGTTCTTCCCATGTTCCGTTGCACACGCATCCTTTCAACACACCTACGGATATATTTGGGAGCCCAAGCGTCCGCACACCTTTCATCTGGCATCCTCCCTCCAGGCAGATGTGGGACTCCGGACCACCGGGCACCATGCCCACAATGATCGCGGACCGTGCCCAGTGGCCCTTTGGCCAAGGTCACAAGGAGCTAAGCAGGAACCAGACCCGGTCCCCACCCTGCAGGCTTACCTGCGTCCCCCGAGAGCAGTACCTCCTCCAGGGACTCAACCCCCAGGTCGCAGCCCGGAGCAGGAGGGCCATGGTGGAGCAGCAAGGGTTGTGGGCCGTGTGGCGGAGGGCTGCCACTCGCTCCCGCAGCGGCCCGCCCCTGGGCCGCGCTGGGGGTGGGGCCTGCTTAAGGTGGCCGGCCCTTAAGGTGGTGGCCCCGCTGAGCGGTCTGCTGGGCGCCAGGCAGGGTCTGTTCTAGAAAGGTGAGGTTTAACCGACATGTGGGGAAACTGAGGGACGGCGGCCCCCGCAACGTTTTCTTTGGGTGCTTAGAACAAACACAAACTCGCTGCCATCTTTTTGACGGTGCTGCCAGCTCAGAAAAATATTTGAAGTGGAGATTACTTTTACATCTTGCAACTGGACCGAATTCTTGGGATTTGATTCATTCGATGGTTGTGTTTGGTTTTTTTCCCCCTCCTCTAGATAGCTGATAGATATAGTCTCATTTCTTGCCTCACCCGCAAGGCCAGCAGTTCGAACCCATCAGGTGCTCAGTGGGACAAAGACGAGGTTCTCTGCTCCTGACGGAATGAGTCTCAAAAACCCAGAGGCAGTTCTATCGGGTCACTGGGCGGGAATCTACTCGAATGCAGTGAGTCTGAGTATTTTGAATCTTGGACGCCACCTTTCCTTTCTCCTTCTCAGCATTGGAATGCGAATGCAGATGCAGCGGGAGCAGGAAATTCCCAGGTGAATGAGAAGGAATACTTATTTGCAATAACACGACACTGCCTAACTCCCAGGATTAGGGTTACTTAGCGCTGGAGTTTATTTCCCCAGTCCAACTGAAATAAGAACAAGTTGAGAATATTGCTTCAATATACGGAAACATAACAAATCCTAGCAGTTTCCTTCTCCAAGCATTTGGAAAGATTCTCGACTTTCTGTCTTTTTTTCAATTTAAATATGTTCTTAACGCCTGTATTTGTTAATGCAAGACCTCGAAATACAGTGGCTGGTGTATTTGCTTTAGGATTCCCTTTCGTAGGCTTCAAGACAGTTCACTTAAGTTTGTTTATCGGTCCATGCCAGGTTTGTGTATTTGGGGAGCATTAACCCAAAAACGCAAACTCTGCAGCCCAAAGGATTCCGCGGCGTGGCGGCTCCAAGTGTTGAGGGACTGCTAATCACAACCTATTCTGGGGGAAGGGAATTGTCCCGGCGCAAAGACGACCGCGGACGGCTTCCTTCGAACAGCTGAGCGAAGGTGCAGACTTTCCCCAGAGTCCCTAATGACGCGGCCCCGGAGGCCTATGGGAAACGTAGTCCAAAAAAGTCGAGGGACCACCCCTTGGAGGACCCTGGGAACAGCAGCGGCGTGCGCACATGCGCAGTGCTGGCGCGCGCCGGAGGCTACCCTTCCCCCACCTCCAAGTGCGAGTGGGCGACAGGACCCCAGTCTCCGGGCGTCTTTGCCACCACGCGCCGTGACCCGACCTAGCCCGGAGCCGCGAGTGGCGGCTGTGGCCCTGCAGGTACGAGAGGTCTGCCTGGCAGCTCTGCAGAGCCTGGGGGCCGAGGGGATGGGGTGCAGGAAGGGCGCGTGCCCATGCGGGGTGGGAGCCCAAACTTCGGCGACTCGCGGTCGCCGGTGACCCTCGGGGCAGCGTCCGAGGCTGCGGGGCGCGCCGCCTCCAGCCGGACGGTAGGGCCCTCGG